TTCTCAGTGTGTATTCTGTTATTAGTAGTTACGGTTACTGTTTTTTACATACCCAGATTTATTACCTTTGCAGAACCAGCTTTATCTTTGTCTTCAGTCAAAGAACCATATTGCTGTTATAACGCATCAGAGTGAACAAACTTGTGCGCTTATTAAACTTTCTCGGAAATAGAAGGCTAGAAAGCTTACTCAAGATCATTTATTTTTTCTGTTGCTCAAAGCTTGCTCAAGTAATAATAGACAGAGTTTTTTTCATTTTTCATTACATAGTTTTGTTTTCCAGTGCACTGTGAAGGTTTCTGTTCTTTACAAGAATAACTTTCAATTTCGGTACGCAAATTGTCCTTTTTACTCGCTGTGAAGTAGAGAACTGCCGGCAGTGACTTCAAAACAATTGACTCTTTTTCTGTAAACAATTGCTGCAGCTTGATTTGACTGAGGCGAGCAAAACAAACCCTTATGTGCAATTTTCTGTATTTTCTAATGATCGGCTGAGTTTAATTTATGTTATGCGTGTTCAACTTGACAACACAAAGCAAAATTTATATATCTGCGAGAAACGAGCAAGTTCAAAAAACTGTTGTTGCTTGGAAACCGATTTTTGGGAAGATTTTACAAGATAAAATTTGACCTTTTTTCTGCCTACATATCAACGCAATAACTTCTACATTGAGGATTTTGTTTATATTTTAGTGATCTGCGAAACTACGAGGGTCCGATCGAGTGCGACAAAGTTCAGTGACTTCAAACACATTGTGGGCAAGCGTTAATTTTTTTGGGCAAATCACTGTCCAAAGATATGTTGTTTTTGTGTCCACAGAGGAGCTCCGGACCTTATATATCCAGGAACTTCCTTATATGAACACATTTTGTGAATGCATCTCGAAAAAAAACCTACGCATGCACATTTTCAGTACAACGCAAGGAAATCAATGACGTTAAAGTCCGTTTTACTATGAGTTATTCTTCGAGAAAATTAATTAACTACAAGGTTACGACCACAGCTTGCAACTTTTGAAGACAAATTGCCTATTCCTTCCAGGTTATGAGTGGAAACATTTTATTTTTAGGCAATAAAATATTTGAAATCCCGCCATTTTTTAAGCCCGGCCAGGGGATCTGGGCAAAAAAGTTCACGCATCCTCATTACGTTTTTCCGCCCTGAAAAGTCCATCGTGTTCGAAGTATGCACTTGAGATGAAGCTCATCTTCGGTTGTTTTTATGTGTTTGATATCGGCAACACAGAAATTCAAACTCGAAAAGAATACATTAAATACCAAGGAATAAGGTAAGTCAAGATTTGATGAGATTTTGGAGGTGTGAATATTTATTTTGGACTATTTTCTAGCTACGGCGTTTTGTTTAATTCCAGTGGTTCGGTTTTTTTGCTTTTGCACAATAATGTTTGACAAAGAAACTTGAAGAACAGACTATTGATTCCTATTCTTTATATGTTCGCTTGTTTGGTTTCTATACACAGCAAAATGTGAATTCAGCAGCAAACTTCGTTTTTACATCAAAGACTGGTCTCCCTCGCGTGGTTCTAGTGCTACGGTGAGTCTTATTTCTCCAGAAATATTCGTCTCTCCACTCTCGGAGTTTGAACAACATATGTACAGTAGCGATCCCAGGACAGATACTGGCCCGTTAATGCAGTTGGAGAGCCGTAGAGCTGTCCCACAGGCCTCACAGCCCCCCATAATCCAAAGCCTCAGCCAGGACATTTTAATAATTCCACAACTCGATGGCCGCGAAGTGAAAAACCACTGAAGACTTTGGGATCACGCACATTTCTTTCATTTTCTTGTTTTTCAATAGCAAACCAGGAGGCTGTCAGCTGATCTGTGGCATTATTATTGTGAATAAAAGCTTTAGCTCTGCAAAAGCGGCCCTTGTTTGTTCTTTTCGCGCTAGTGGGAAGAACCGCCGCCAGGGTGCGCAGTGCAAAAAAAGGGAATTACCTTAAATATGTATGAATATATACACACACGTTTTAAAAAAGGTTGATATATCGGAAATAAGTATATATCTTTTGTTTTTTGTTTGTTTCCCTTGAAAAAACAAAACAAAACAAAAGAAGTATATATTAATGTCGGAAATGTCAACCCCTATGAAAACAAGTGTATAGATATATACAATGTACTACTTATTTTTGTAAGATAGAAAGTAAGTGTGATATATTTGTTTACACAAAACACAGAGAATAAAAACAGCAGCAGGAATTTGCAAATACTGCAGGCCTCTCATTCCTGGCACTACAGTAAAAGTCACAGAAAAAAAGTTAACACAAACAGGTAGTCTAGGAAAATATACGAAAACTTCAGAAAAATGTTTAACTGTCTTACAAAACTCAAAACATTGTTAACTTTTTACAGACAACATGGTGTACATTGCGCTATCAATTAAATAAACACTGCAGTCAGTCTGAGTTAGTAGATTTGGAAGCACTGAGTCCTGAAATAGTTTACAATTATTCTTAAATGATTTATCTGTTTTTTAGAGTGTCATAGAGGACCATTCAATTACTCTTGGACTTTGTGCAAGTACACACATTCAACAACTATCAGGTGAATGTCTGTGATTGTGAGCTGTAAACAAAAGTGATTATAGATGCGTTAAGTTGATGACTTTGCCTATTATCATGGCTGTGCGTGTTAAGTTCAGTGAAAGACAGGAATATAACAATGATAATTATACAATGTTAAAATAAAAAAACGATCATGCATTAAAACAGAAACTAGGTAATACTGTTTGGAAAAAGTTATTATGGACAAAATTAAGAAAGTGAGCTTAAACATACCCACCATCAAGTTAACACATCAACCACAATTTTACATGGTCTACACGCTTATAGACCATAGAAATTAACTAATAAAATGTTCAAAACTCAAGTGGAACCATGAGCCACAGGCATGTTGGGTAATTTAATATTTTGTATCTTCATTATTAGAGGGGACAGAAAAGAAATTTGGTCGGACAGCAGAGGTGTCTGCCATCATCAAAGATCTATACAAGTTAACAGAAAATCCACTGCCACCATTCCTTACCCACACCTTGGAAGAGGTAACATATTATTTTCTTTCCTCATACACGTATAGGTATCTCAACACACCCCTGACCTGTCCACAGTGAAGGTGCCATAAAGGGAGAGGTATCCTTGGCACCATCTAAAGCAGTCAACGCCAAATGACAAAAACTAAGAAGCTAAATTCCTCCCCTTCAACCGCTGGTTAGGCAAGGGATAAAATATCTGGTTGACGAAGATGCAGAAGGGATATAGGAACTAGAATTGGATGCAAACTTTAATCCTGTCTAGTCTAAATTGTCGAAAAGTGTAAAATTTATTCGTGTGCTTCATGTAGATTAACCTCGTTATGAGAACTATTGGCTATTTTGGGTCACGTGGTACCAAATCAGAGGGCGGGTATCAGGCAAATACACCCTGTCTGTCGGCATTTGCCCTACGATTTTCAGTGGCAAGAAAGCATATGACAAAGTCAACAAAGTGAGTCTCTTCAGTTTTTATCTTCTTTCATAATTTAAAATGAAAGCAGTAAAAACAAACTTTTTTGACTAAAGTTTTGGGCTGTTCGCAACTGACAGTTCTGAAAAATAAAGAGAAATCAATAAAATAAGCTATGAATCGAAGACGAGCAATTTATAAATTAAGCTTAATAATGATGCATTAGAACAGAAACTTGAATACAGTTTTTTCACACAGTCATAGCTGTCAGCTATGGAAAAGAATTCTTCAAAGTGTACGAAAATAAGCCTTTTTTGTTACTTTCAGCATGGAAAAAAGAGAGTGTAGTAAGCCATGAGAGTGTTAAATTATGGAGCAACAGTTCAGGCAATCTTCGATTATCGGGCAATTTATAACTCAAGTAAATATCAGTCAGTTCAACCAGTTCTTACAGATGGGCCTCATTATTTTCATGTGTAAGGCACCATGATGGCAGCCACGTTCAACTGTGTTCTGAAATATTTAATTTTTTCCTGTTTTTTATTGGCATCTGTGATCATAATAGAAACAGTCTCTTCTAACAATGTTAAGTTTGTGCCGAGGGACTTACAGCATATTAACTAGCGGCATTTTCAGTACTTGACTCGGATTGTACAACAAGCAAATTCATTAACAAATATATTGCCACGCCGGCCAATTTCTGCGTGGCACAAGCATGGCCACTGTTGCCTTTTAATCCAAAAAAAGGACATCAATGTCGATATGGATGTTGAGAGGAACCCTGGTCCTGCCATTGTTTCAAACTGGGGCTTCTTGGGTTTTGTGGATGTTTGCATCGAAAATTTTAACAGTCACTTCGAATCCTCACTGTCCTTGTCTTTTCACCTTCAGATGCGATTTACTGGCTATGTAAATCGACAACAACTTTTAGTTTGTTTCAGGGATGAGTAACTCTCTACTCGCTTCAGATTTGCTAGATTGAAGCTATGCCAACAAATTTTGAGCCATTTGCAAATGAACTCAGTACCGCGGTATCATGGAAAACGAGCTGGAAAGTCCAAAGGGTTTCTCGGTGACAATAGAGCGATATACTACGCCATATGCCCAGCCCTCAAGGTGCAAGGACGTGGACTCTTGTATCTCTTACTTTCTGTGATTCTCCACGGCCTCCAACACTTTATCACTTGAGACCGACTACAGCCAGATTTGCTCGGTTGTGGCCGAGAGGAATTGTCTGTACTTATTTGGTTGAAGGTTTGATATGTTTGTGTCATTGTGCCCTGGCAGTTTCCAATTGGTACATATTTTAATTCTGCCTTTCTTCATGTGTTTGTAGCAGGTCGTCAGTGATTACTTTTTTAGCTACATCCTTTGTGAACCGCAGGTGACATAATATTTTATTTCATTGGTTATTCCAATGTAAGAATGTGGAGGTTTAGGGGAAAAAGAAGGAAGAAATTGAAACGTTAATTAAGGGAGTTTTCACGCTAGGATATGTCTTATAGCACCATTCCTCCTCATTTTCTTGTTTTAGAA